CACGTCTGCCTCTCTCGGTCTGCTCAAAATTGCATCGTCTGGCCCCGGGGAGCAGCCTAACATGCTGGTATATTTTACATAGTGAAGCATGTGTAGCAGCGCAGAAGGGCCGTACTCGTGTCGGCTCAAGCTCTCCCTCCCTCCCTCCCTCTTTCTCTCTCCTGTGTTCGATTGCACGTTTGTTCCACCCGACTTGCCTCGGGTGCTCTGTCGAAGCCACGAGCAGCCGGCGTCTACGTGGTGCTGTCACGTCTGCCTCCTTCGGTCTTCTCAAAATTGCATCGTCTGGCCCTGGGGAGCAGCCTAACATGCTATATATGTATGTCTAGTATGTGTATGTATGTCTGTATGTATGCATGCATGTATGTATGTGTGTATGTATGTATGTATGTATGCATGTATGTGTGTATATTTGTTTATATGCATGCATGTATGTACACATGCACGCACATATATGTATATGTATATATGGTGTATATGAATGTATGTATGTGTGTATGTATGTATGGATGGATGTATGTATGGATGTATGTATGTACCCCGGTCGCCCGATCTCCTTTTTTTTTTTCGCGCGTCCCCGATTTTGAAACAAAATCGGAGGTAGGGCCGATTTTTGATTGTCATCTTGTCACGTCATTGAAAAATCGGGACAGCCCCTATTTTGACATCACATCGTTTTTACATTCAACTGCCATTGTCAATCCACGTCTTATACATCATCATTCATTGCGTTGGTAACTAGAACGATTGGTCGCAACATTGTGCGGTGATCTGTTATGGTTTGTTCAAATGGTTTTGATGGTGGTGGCGTGGTGCGCGCGCGTGCGCCGCGGCCAAACGCGAAACGACGACCGCCGCCGCATGCTACCGCCAACGCCGCCACCACCGCCAGCGCGACCACCACCTCACCACGCCAAGCCATCGGGGTTGTCGGGTTGGGCGAAAGCCTCCAAGATACGAAACAGGTTGGCGGCTGCGGCGGAGCCTTCGGTATACATGTTGTTGGTTGTATGTAACATACGTGTGTGTATACACATTGGCTTTCTGTGTACGTTGATGCGGTGATGATGCCCAGTTTGTGGTATGTCTGTTCTGAGTGCCGAGGTTTGTCATTGTTGTTGTTGTTGTAAGTGCTGTTGTTGTTGGTGGTGTTGGTGTTGTTGTTGTTGGTGTTGGTGTTGTTGGTTTCTTTTTGTTGTTGTTGTTGTTGTTGTTGTCGTTGTGCGTTTTTTGTTTATTCTTTTTTCCATCGCTCCTTGAAAGCATGAAGCCTGTGTTTTTGAATTATAGTTCTGTGCAGGTAATGTGTATTTTGATGCTCTGCTACCTGGACAACGTCGGCGATAGTTTACTCGTCTCTGTAGCACCACTCGTCCCTTGGATTTGTGCCTCGCTCACAAATGTGAATGAACAGGTGGTGTTTGGGGCAAAAACGGCGCAACACCCAACCGTGCGCAGCGGACCAGAGGTCCTTGTACAGTGCGACGTGACACCTCCCATATGTTGCCAGACGAAAGGGGCTGCCCTCGCCCCGCGACCCTGCTTCTTTGTAGCACAGGTCGAAAAACGCAAGCACTCCAAACGAGCGATTTCCGTAGCATTATGCGGAGGGAAAATCAGTTCCAACAGTCTGACCAAGCACGGAACCAATTTCCTTGTCTCAGCGGCCTTGAGCTTCATCCCAGGGGATTTACCGACTACCCTCACCATGTTAAGCGTACATCTCCAGAACGGTGGATCTATGTTCAAGTGGTTTGACATTTGGCGCAACATTACACAGCGGTTTTGCAAGGGCTCGTCGTCCTCCCTGGTGCCACCCATCATTTTGAATAACTCCCAAAGTATGCAAGCTGTCACAATCTGGGCGATGCCCAGGTCCACCGTGTGCATCCAATCGGCCAGGCAATATTCCAGTAAGAAACCTGGTATATTGAAGACGCCAGAGATGATCACTCCAACTGCGAGCTTGCGCCCGAGGAGCGACGCTGTAGTCGCAGAGAGCGACCTCCAGTGAGCGTCCAAACCAGCATTGGCAAGGTCACCAGTCGTGGCATCGCACTTCCAGCAAACTCGCAAACTAGCGTCGTCGCCCCACCCTTGCAAGCCAAGGCCATGCTTCAGCCACTGCCAGTCCCCAGTCATTCGGAGCATGCAGGATCGTGTCCTCAGTGGACCAAATTTGGCATTGCGTTTTTTGTCACCGATTCTCGTGCTGGCGCTAAAGGGCTGGTTGTCGTGCCTGGTGCTCGGCCACTGTCCTCCCATGTGAACACGAACGGACCGCGCTAGTACTTTCCAAATCCCCTCGGAAGCATGCCACCCCTTGCATCCACACTGACAAGCTGTCCTTTTACTCAGTGCCACAAACCAGAAGCGCTCGAACCGCAACTCGCCGAGAGACGTGAACAGCAAGGCCAGGGTGCTGTCCCGCGTCAAGTACGGGGCGAAGTCGCCCCAGAGGCCGAAGGCGACCACGTCAGTATTCGCTATACCCATTCTGCTGCACCACTCCTCCTTCTTCGCTGCAAGGATCGGCTGCGATGATAAATCAACCCACTGATCTTTGGTTAACACACCGTCATCACTCGTAGCCTCGACGTGCTCATGAGGGCGCAAGAAATACACGTCATCTTGATAAGGCCCCTGTTTCACTGGGTCCCAACACTGAATGCTGGCAGCGTAGGGCTCTGGCTTCCCAGGCGCTGCCTTCATGCGCCGCATCACGTCGCGATGGCAGTTCCTACTGCTGGAAGCCGCCGAATTGCCGCGCAGCGAAGTCCGTGCTCTGCTGAAGTCCTGTCTCACGTAGTCTGCCGCATCCCTCGGCCTGCCATCCCATTCGACCAAGTGGTGAAGGCCGAGGCCGAGTGGCCTGCTCCACTCTGCAAGTTTCTGTAAGTGCCCTGGCATAGCCTGAAACAAGCTTGAGCCCAAATTGGCCATGAGGCCCATGGGGGCCCATGGGGGCTCAGGGTTGTGCACGCAGTAGGCGTTTCGCTCGAGATATCCTCACATTTGTCTGGCTGGGGCGCTCGCTCGATACATCCTCGCATTTGTTTCCTCGGTTGAGCTCTCTCTCTCGGTTCGCGTGTCGCCCCCCGAACGCTATTGAGGCGTTTCGGCCCCCAGGGCCAACATATTTTGAGGACGAGGAGGAGGAAGAGGAGGAGGAGGAGTGGGATAATCTTGAGGCGTGCCGCTCATTCGAACAACTTTGAGGCGATCGGGCCCTTGCAGGTGCATTTATCATGCTCAGAGCCGTCTCGATTGGAAAGGCACGATGCATGCCGACCAACGCAACGTTGCAACCCCAACTAGCTCATTGCATGATGCCCCAGTCACCCCGAAGGTCGAGGCGCACGTCTATCACTTGATGTTGGCGAACGGGACAAGGACCTCGGACTTCTACTTCTTGTACTCCTTCTCGCAATTCTCGCTGGGTGTCTTGAGGCTCGCCGTGGCCGCCTCTATATCATCATTGCTATTGAACTTCGTCCCCTTCGTCTCGGTCCACAGCTTGTGGAGCGACTCCTTGAAGGCCACCTGCTTCGCGGTCTCCTCCTGCAGATAGGAAGCGGCTGAAGGTGACCAGGATTTGGTTTTGAGCCTGTTCTCGACGAGCTCCACCTCTGTAAGCTCCCTGCCCATCTTGTCGATCAAGCTCTTCGCCTCCTTGGAAGTCTTGCCCATGCTGTCCTTGAGCTGCTTAGTCACCAGCTGCTCGGCACTCAGCTCTGTTGGTGGGTTCGGCGGGGTGCCCCCCCCGAGAACTCGGGTTCCCTTGGGTGCGACCTTTCTTTTTCGGTTGATCCCCATCCGTTGCCATGGCGGTGGCCACCTCTTGGTACTCTGAGGGGGTGATCTTCGCATCGACGGTCACCGCGACAGTCTCCTTCTTGCGGTTGCAGCATTCCCTCCAAACCTTCGTGACGTCGTACTCCTTGACTCCTGCCGCTGCCAACGCAGCGTTTTCGTGAGGCCGATCTTGCAATACAGTGACAGCGATCTTCGCGTGCTCCATGTTGTTGGGGAACCGTGGGCCTCCATACTCATCGACCGTGACCCAAATCTGGACAGCTTTGTCGGCGGTCTCGCTTGAACGCCCAGTCGTCTTGCTGGCGCAGCACCCGCCGCTTTCTGGGTCAAGAATGAAGGCTGCAAGCCACTCACGGCGCTGATCGTCGTCCGTGAGCGCCTTGTACTCGACCACCTTGGATGGATGATGGTTCTTGAGCGTGGTGTCAAGAGCCGAGAAAGCCCTGGCGCGGACGGAGTGGTCAACATTAGCGATCGACTGAGCAGTCACCCCTGCTTCACCAATGGCTGCCTTCATCTCAGCGCACGCCTTGGGCAAAGCGTTTGCTTTGCGCTTGGGCGGCATGGCGAGCGCGAGCGGTCGGTGGCTCGACCTCGCCCGAGCTCCAACAGTAGCCGAAACAGCTATGGGAGGAGGTCTGAGGAGGAGGATAAGGGATCGCTCCAGGGTCCCAGGGCGCCCCGATCAGCGCACACAGGGCGTCTCCATATCTGTCAGCAGATTTGTCAGGCCCCTGTTAGATATAGAAATTGACGAATGTTTCGAGGATCTAGATATGGCAGCATATCCGGCAGGGGGGGGGCTGTTAGATATGCTGGGGCGTGGGGGAGCCCCGCGTGGTCTCGATGGGCTCCATGGGGCCCATGGGGGCTTAGGGTTGTGCACGCAGTAGGCGTTTCGCTCGAGATATCCTCACGCATCGTGTCAGTATAGGTTCCCATTCGTTTGCGCTTGCACTTAGGTTTCTCCGTCGGCGTTTCGCTCGAGATGCCCTCGCAGGCGTCGGGCCTGGGCCGAAGGAGGATGGAGATTAGGTCTGAGACTTGACAGGCTGGATGATTAGAAAACGTAGGAGGATCAGCCTGGACACCCTGGTGGAAAGTTGTTTCCCTATCTCTCGAGAGCCAAACATGCATTTCCGTCTCAATGCTCCGCAGGTTCTGAGTTTCCCGAGCTCCGAGCCTCACTTATGATGGCAGGCCAAGAATGTCGCGAGGTCGACGGACCGCTGGACGTCCTCGCCGATCGCGAGCTGCAGGTCGCCTTTCTTGTTGAGACTTTTGCCGTCTCTATGGCACTGAAGGCGCCCATTGTCTTCGCGATCTTCAGGTTGTCCTCCGCCACGCCCTTGATGTAGAATGAGCCCTTGCCTGTGAAAAGCACGCTGATGCGGCTGCCCTGGATCGTGTACGACTTACGGCCTACCTCGAGGCCACCTGTAGGTTCGGCGTTCTCAGGGAGGCGCTGCAAGATGTCGAGGACGGCCTTGCTGTGCTTGGGACCCTCGACAGCAAGGCCCTCGCACGCATCATCGCTAGGCGCATCGTCCTCTTTCTTGACTTTCTTCGGGGTCTCGGCAAGCGCCTCATCATCCTCTGCCAGCGGCATGGCAGCCGCAGGCCTTTTGGCCGCCGCTGGCTTCTTCATGGTACTCGGCTTCTTGGGCTTGGGCTGAACTATTGGCGTGGGCCTCCGCAAATGTGCCCCATCGTCGGTGATCAGATTCGCAGACACTTCCATCCCCCACTCCTCATTGTAGGCATCCCATACCGCAACTGCTAGCCCATTGTCTCCACGACGGTACCTATCCGCGTAGACCTCCAGGCCTGAGCTCATCGATATGACGGCCTTGAACTCCGAGGCGTCCAGGCTCTTGCTGACGATGTAGGCTTCGTCGTCCGAGCTCCGATCTGATGCACCTCCTCGAAAAGCTGGGAATGGGTGGGGCCTATGGCCGACGATAGGCCTGGGCTCTGCGTGATGAGCTCGTACACCTTTCGCAATTCTTCAGGGTGTGCACGAACAGCAGCAGGCGAGTCGATGTCGGTGAGCTTCTTGTACTGCGGCTGCTGGTCTCTGGTGTGGGCGCACGCCACGCGAAACATCAAACTCAAGTGAACGAGCCCTTGTTCGATACTGGCATACCCTTGCGAGACACAGTGCGCAGCGAATGCCTGCCTGCAACTGTCTCGCATGGCGCACTTAGCGAGAGCCCCTCTCATGTCCCTCTGGCGGAAGTATCCTCCTCTAGGGTCCAGCGTCATGAGTTCCGACAAGATCGGAGCGAAACCTTTCAAGGCGTCTGTATCCACTCCCGTCTTCGTGTCCTTGGACTCGTAGTTCCAGCCGTTCAGCGCGAACAAATACGTGTCGAAGTCGGCCACCGGGGCCTCGTAGAGCTCAGGGTTGGACGGGTCCGATGATCTCCAGCTTCTGGCCTTTCTGCGCGGCTGAGCCTGAAGCAGCGCGGGCTCCTCCGCCATCGCCGAGCCGCGCGAGCTGAAGCTTCTCCTCCTGAAGCAGTGCGAGCCTGAAGCAGCGCGAGCTCCTTGCTTGAAGTTGCGAATTGAGCCCAAATGGCTAAGGGGGAGGTGGGTGGGAGCATGGCGAACTTCTTGGTATTCGTTTCTCAGTTTATCGTTTGTTGTAGCTAGGTCCCGTCGGCGGATTTCGTTTTGTTTTTTCGCGGCCCCCTCATATAACATTTGAAGTGCGTTTCACTTGGATGTTAATGGGAGCGTATCCTAATACCACCCACACTACGCACGTCGCTCGAGACGTCCTCACTGGTCGATCTAGTCTGGGCTCGCACGTCGCTCGAGACGTCCTCACTGCAGTGATACATTCCAGGCTGTGTCGCACGTCGCTCGAGACGTCCTCACTGGTCGATCTAGTCTGGGCTGTTGTCGCACGTCGCTCGAGACGTCCTCACTGCAGTGATCTATTCCAGGCTGTGTCGCACGTCGCTCGAGACGTCCTCACTGGTCGACCACCCACACCTACGCACGTCGCTCGAGACGTCCTCACTGGTCCTCACTGGCCCTCACTGGTTTGATTGTTATTGCTGTTTGGGGTGCTTGTTTTTGTTAGCAATGCTAGTCGTCCCTGGCCAGCCTGCTGAGCGCATCAAGTTCATCAGAGCAAATTATGTGAAGCAACGATTGCCTGCTGATATCGTCAATCGGCTGCTCATCCTCAGCGGGCTGGGGCCGAGGCTCACTCTCAGCAGGCTGGGGCCGAGGCTCATCCTCGAGATCTGCAAGCTCGGGCTGAGGCTCAATCTCCATGCCGTCTGCGGGCCTGGGCAGCTCGTCGATCGCGTCGACTTCGATCACCGAGGCCGACTCCTCATCCGCGTCTGAGGCGACGTAGTCTCCATCCATCCATGGGTACGGGCCCATGGGCATGCAGCCGTGGTAAAGAGGCATCGGTACGTCATAATCAGGATAACTTTCTATGCACGTCCACCATCGGAGCTTAGTTTGCATGTCTAAAATCATTGAGCGACGGCCATGAATCATGCACGCACTCATACTCGCCGCCATGACTTGGGAAGGTAATACCCGCAAGTAGTTGAACTCAGGCATGCTGTTTGACACCTTCGAACCACATCGCAAGCACTCGTAGTCCACTCCTCCCATCCATGCCATGCGTCGGTCGTACTCTATCTCCATGAAGGTGGGTTCTTCGACGCCGTCGCCTGTGGCAAGCAACCTAGGGCAACACAGCGGCACAATCCATTCAGCAGGAGATGCAGGCGGCGGCGGAGGAGGTACCATTTCTTGATCAGCCACGTGGTCAACGAAATCTTGAAACGTTTTCCCAGCGATCCTCAACTTAGCATCTAGAGCCACGTCGTCACGCCAAGGTTCTCTGCAAAGGGCGCATGGTAATCCAGGACATGGTAAAGGTGGCCGATGTAAGTCTGGCCATGTTGAATGCACCCAAGATCCGAAACAATTCATGTGCACTTTGTGGCCGCACGCCCATCCAATTTCATCGGAGTGTGGTCCGTTGACGGTGTCGCTGCACAGACAACAAATCTCGGGGCTGGACATGCGGCCCGCGCCAAGGAAAACCCTTGGCCAGAACCAACATTGCTGTGGAAGTGTCAGGGCATTTCCGCATCGGCCCCTGGTTTTGTTCATGTGTCGTTTGTTTTGTTTGTATGTGTTTACCGTTACGTTTTGGGGGCAATTGCACACTTGTTGGAGGATGGAGGGGGTGAGGTGGGGGGCCACCCCATGAGATGAGCGAGAAAGGCCACGGAACCAGGAGAAGGAGGAGGAGGGGGGTGAGGATAACGACGACATATCATAGCACGACACATCATAGCACGACACATCATAGCACGACATATTATAGCACGATGTCTCATAGCACGACATATCATAGCATATATAGCAATTGTCCGACACTCGCTTTCGCGAGCCACCAGCTTATCAGATGATTATGCCCCATGCAAATAGCCGCCCACCCCATCTTGGGGGCACAAGGTGCGTGGCCCCCATGCATGCAAATAGCCGCCCACCCCATCTTGGGGGCACAAGGTGCGTGGCCCCCATGCAAATAGCCGCCCACCCCATCTTGGGGGCACAAGGTGCGTGGCATCTAACCGAGCTCACCGACCAGACCTCATGCAACTTAAGATATCATTTGTTTTTTATTTGATGTGTTTAAGTGTCTGATCTAGCCTCTGTGAAACCAACATTTTCTTCATACATAGATACATATAATTATACGTGTACGTATGTATGCATCAAAATAGTGGATCCACTATTTTGCAACACTTGTTTTTCAAAATAGTAGTTAAGGCAGATTTCCTATAATAGTAGATCAACTAAAAAAAAACGGGGATCGGAAGGCCAGGGTAAATATGTATGTATGTCTGTGTGTGGATGGATGGATGGATGGATGGATGGATGGATGGATGGATGGATGGATGGATGGATGGATGGATGTGTGTATATATATATATATATATATATATATATATATATGTGTGTGTGTAGGGCCGGCGCTTTTTCTGAAGCAGCCTCCTTCTAAGAAGCTGTCCCCCTTCCCCCTACGCCTTGCGCGCGCCTCCAAAATGAGGGCCACTGTGGTCCTTCTGTCAGCGTCCTGAGCCTACAGTCGGCCCAGATTAGTAGGTCGACCCTGCAAAATCAAGGGTACCCTTGTGTCCTGTGTCTCGCGACCCATGCCTCCCACATTCCTGTGGCAATGTGGCCCTCGGAAGGGTCTTGTGTCCTCTCGCGTGTCCTGTCCAATTGAGTGCGACTGTAATCTTGCTGGGCTCGGGAGGGGCTCAGGCGAGTAGAGGGCCGTCCTGAGGGACTCTTGGGCGTCCTGGGTGCCTCGGGGAGGCCTCTTGGGGCCGCTTGGGGTTCTCTTGAGGCCTCTTGGAGGCCTCTTGAGGCCACCATGGGGCCATCATGGGGCCATCTTGGGGCCTCTTGGGGCCTCTTGGGCGCCTCTTGGGGCCATCTTGGAGGAGATCGACCAAACAAGAGGGGAGCTTCAATTAGGCCTCCCCCCTCAGGATGCCAAAATGGTGCCAAAACCCTAGTAAAACCAATGATTGTGGCTTCTTCGCCGAGGCCGTTTTGGACGCCCTGACACCTCGCGGAACCCCCCGTCCAGGTCCAGGGAAGTGGGTAGGGGGAGGGGTAAACCCTTCCCCGAAGGGGAAGAAGGAGGGGTGGAAGAGGAAACTCTAAACCACCGACGCCCAGAGGGCTGGTGGGATTTGTTGGAACGTGTACACTTTGGCCTCGAAGGGGGCTCGATGATCCTGAGGTCCTTCCGTAGACCCTCCTGGAGCCAGAAGAGGGTTTCGTTACCCATTCGAGGGAAGTTTGTGCTCTACATTTGCGACAATTGGTGCAGGGTTACCTCCTTCAAACGTGGGTTCCAGCCAATTCTTCTTGGCCATCGTCCACAGTCGTCCAGAGTGGTATGGTCCACATGCGTGTCAGGAGCCAGGCCGATACGGGCTCATTTGGCACTTCTTCTCTTCACCTGGTGATTGCAGGCTGCGCCCACCCACGTGCACGAGATTCGAGGTCAGCGCGTGCACACGTGACTGCGAAAAGCCGACGGTGCGCGTAGCTATGCACCTTCACCTGTCCTCTTTCGTTTCCACAACTGTCCGCTTGCTGGCCGGCCAGCAATGTGACACCCATGATAGCCCGCGCGACTCGATTCTTTTCTCCTCCTTCCTCCCTCCCCCTGCTCTCTTGTCCCTCCCTCTCTTTCTCTTCCTCCTCCTCCTCCTCCTCCTCCGCTTCATCATCATCATCATCATCATCATCATCATCATCATCATCATCATCCTCATCCTCATCCTCATCCTCATCCTCATCCTCCTCATCCTCATCCTCATCCTCATCATCCTCATCATCGTCATCGTCATCATACTCATACTCATACTCATACTCATACTCATACTCATACTCATACTCATACTCTTCCTTGTCGCCCACACGCAGCAGGCATGCCCACCTTGCAAGGCGAGGTTGGTGCCACTTTCGGAGGGCCACAAGCACCACACCACCCGCAACCCTCACCCTTCGAGGAGGCGAAGAAGAGGACGGTGTGGGGAAACTGTTGTGTGGGGGTGAGGGGAGCACTCGCGGTCCTCGTTCCTTCTCCCCCTCCTCCTCGTCCTCCTTTTCTCCCGTTGGCGGGGCGGCGCAAGAGCGCGAAGCCCTTGGGGGAAACTGTTGTGTGGGGGTGAGGAGAGCAGGGAGGACTGAGTAGGGAGTCGGAGGAAGGAGGAGGGAGGGGAAGAGCCATGGAGGAGGGGGGCCCTGGCTGCTGTTGTCGGCCACTCGCAGAGGCGGTAGGGGGGAGGGGGGAGGGCTTCTCAGAAGGAGGATGCTTCGCAGAAGGCGCGGGCCTTACCTACAGGTGTGAGGCCCGCGCCTTCTCAGACGCCCTCCCCCCTCCCCCTACCCGGCTTTTACTGAACGGCCCTGGGCGTTTGCTAAACAGCCCTACCCTGTTCGATTCCTGCTTCGGGTGCGTTTTTGCTGAGCTTCTTCGCTTTTTGGATTGGTTATGATGGGGGCGGATTTCGTTGCTCTCCACTTCCCCCCTCCCCCTACCCTCCTCTGCGCGCCGCCAACGTTGACCCTGAGACCCAAGAAGATGTGCCTCCCCTGGAGCCGGCGCGGGGAAGCGCCCCCTGCGAGGCGAGGTCGCACAGGACGGAGGTCGAGTCCACCCTGCGGGGGGTCACGGACTGCGGGAGCCTGCTGGCGGCCGAGTTCTGGAGGCGGCCGCGCTGCTCCCACCGCTTCTGCTGCTGCAGCAAGGGCTCCCACGAGGGCGCGAAGGTTCTTGCGTCCTACGTTTTGACTGTACTGTGTTCTGTTGCTCTCTGGGAGGGCTTGGACCCAGTCCACCTGATCTGCCCTCCAGCTTCATTCAGGAGGGAGCAAAAACACACAGGCACAATTAATCGTCGACTCCCCGTGAAAATATGGGAAAATATTGGGAAAGACGAGAACCCAGAGAATGTGGGGAAATATGGGGAATTCTTTTTTTAGTGTCTATTTACTCGTGTGTACCAGGGCCCCTTCACTCCTGCTTCGTGGTTCTACCCACCACTTCCGACCGACGTGTGCCCGTGGGGCACAGGCGCACGAGAGCTCCGTGCTCTGAGCGTGCTGCGCCGCCCGCGTCCCCCTCCCATCCCCCTCCAGGGCGCCCCGCCCTGCTCGTGTGCGGCACCGGTGCGGCACCAGCGCGTCCCCCTTTTGCCAAGGGCGCCCTCGAGGGCGCGAAGTTTTTCGCGCTTCGCGGTCCTCGTTCCTTCTCCCCCTCCTCCTCGTCCTAATTTTCTCCCTTTGGGGGGGGCGGCGCGAGAGCGCGAAGTTATTCGCGCTTCGCGGAGCGCGAAACGCGAAGTTGAGAGCCCTAGCTGCAGTCGGTGCGAGGCGGGGATTTATCCACATCCACCGCCTGGGAACCGACGTCCTGGTGCCCCAGCGGGCGGTGGACATGGATATCTTTCTGCCCCTGGGGGTCCGAATATGTCCACATCCACCGCCTGCCGAGGATTCGAAAACTGACCCAGGCGGTGGATATGGATCAATTCCCGCTTCGGAGTCGGGGCGTCGAGCTGAGGAGTCAGAGGAGGAACAGGTACCGGTACCGATACCTCTACCCTTCCCTCGTTTTCCCCTTTTCGGATCTCCTGGGAGGCACTCTTCGCCACCGCTGGATTCGCCTCGACATCCTTGTCAGAAGGCACCCCGGGAGAGGTCCAGGGAGTAGCGGTATCGGGACGTTCTGGTTTCCCCAAGGAGCGCTTGCGGTTCCGGACCTTTGGGCTCGGTGTCTTCCTCGGGGCCCCAGCAAAGCACATGTTCAGCGGATCTTCGGGAAAGAGATGTTCAAGGAACGAACACTTGCACGAGCATAAACTGTCGGAGCTCCGCGCGAGTTCTCGTATCGGCGCTGGAGCCACGCTGGCGCGCTCCGCGCACCAGCGAGTGGGGTCCGGCGTGGGTCCGAGTGGCGTCCTGCGCACAGGAGCGTGAGAGCCCGCCCTCCCTCGGGGCTGCGAACTGCGCAACTGTCGCCGCTTTTCGTTAGCTTTATGTCGGGCCTGTCTCCCTACAGGAGGATTTTCGACGAAAAATGAAAAATACCCCAAAAGTAGTGAGGTCGGTCCTGACAAGGACGGGGGGCCGGCCGGGACTCGCCGGGTGCCGGGTGCCGGGTGCCGGGTGCCGGGTGCCGGGTCGCCGGGTGCCGGGTGCCGGGTCGCTGGGTGCCGGGAGCCGGGTGCCGGGTGCCGGGTGCCGGGGTCACTGGGTCACCGGGTCGCCGGGTGCCGGGTGCCAAGTCGCCGGGTGCCGGGTGCCGGGTGCTGGGTGTCGGGCGCGGGGTGCTGGGTCGCCGGGTGCCGGGTCGCCGGGTCGCCGGGTTGCCGGGTCGCCGGGTGCCGGGTTGCCGGGTCGCCGGGTGCCGGGTGCCGGGTGCCGGGCCTTGAGGGTCGTATTTGCTCTAATTAAGTGCTTGCGCTAATTAAGATAAACAGGGTTGTTCTCCTTAATTAGCTGTTTGCCTTAATCAAAACGAGAGGTTTTCATGTTGTTCTATTTTGATTATATGTTGATTTCCTGATGTTTTATGTTGATTATATGTTGGTTTCATGTTGGCCCTATCATGTTATGTTTTTCCTCCTCCTCCTCCTCCTTCTTCTCCTTCCTCCTCCTCCTCCCTCCACCTCCCCGCGGCGCTTCCTCGACAGGAAACATGTTTTTTGTTCAGCGAGCGCAAAAGGGGAAGCACGGCTTCCGATTCTGGGCGCAGGGGCGGCGCGCGCTCCACTCAGTGAAGGCGTCGCCGCTGGTTCGCCTGTAAGTCCCTCCCGCCGTTCTGGGCCGCTTGCATCTCCGCCAAGATCGCCAGCCGCTCGTCGACCAGCTTCTCGGCCCTGGGCCCTTGGTAGTGCTCCAGAACCTTCTCGTGGAGGCAAAGGCGGCAATTATGGACGCATTGCTGGCAGCAGCGATACCACCAAGAACCGTCCCGCTCCTGCACGTAGCGCCAGGACTGCGTGTCGGCCGCAGCGAGGGCGCCGCACGTCGAGCATCGAGCGTCCCAGGCTGCCATGGCAACTGTTATGGTGAATTCCTGAATTCGGGTCGGGCAGCTTGCAGAAAACTTAAAGCCAAAAACGGCCGCGGCGGCGAAGATGAGCATAAGGAATACGATTGGACATTAAAAGGCGGATGATGGGGCGGGGAGAGCGGGGAAGGAGAGCTCCGAAACGAGTCGGCGTAGCCTCTCCTGCACAGGAGGGGCCTCCTGCACGGGAAGGTGAGGAGAAGGGCGACATCTGTTTTGGATTGTTCCGAGGAGCCATCAACAGATCCTAACGAAAGGTTGCGAAACAAATCTGCTCATCAATGCGACGCTGAAGCCCTTGGGCGCGAGTGCGCCGCCACGACGCTTGGCGAAGTGAGCGGCCGTGCTTCCGAAGTCTTCACCCCTGTAAGTCCAGCATGTCTCGGGTTGATGGCCCTGCAACGATTCCAAGCCCATCTCGAGAAATTGATGAAGCTTCGGTCTGATGTGAAACACTTTCGGGCGCATGCCGCGCAGAGCGATGTGCTGCAGGCTGAACTTGACCGACTGCTCATTCAGAATGTCTCCCTTCAGGCTACCACTCTTCAAGCAAAGATAACACTGATACAAGTGAAACATCGCATGTCTCATCGCGGCCTCCTCCGTGACATTCGGGTCGCAGAGCTCGTCGGCGAGTGCTTTCCTAAAGGGTATCATGTGCCTGATAACGGCAGCCTGCCCTGAAAGCCGCATTGCCTTCTTGTGCCGGATAATTTTCATGGTCAAGGAACGAATGCGATCCATCCCTAGGTTCTGCTCGTACCAAGTACTCAGGCGATTCCACAACTCTTGGCACTGCGGGTCGTTCCACTAAATTTCTTAAGTTGAATCAATATGAAAAACATTTGCCCCAACCAATCTGCTGAAGCGCCCAAGCCAACTGCGCGTGACCTATCGATTCTCCAAGCGGATTGGTCAACCCAAGGGATTGACATCATTGGCGATATTGTGACATCATGTTCCATTAGGTGCTGGATCAATTGCGCCTTCGTGCGCCTGTTGCTCCGCCACGGCGCCCCGCTGCAGATGCGCTTCGGCTGGAAGACCTGCGCGAGCGAGAAACGAGGAGAGTGGGGCGCGTAGGACGATGAGGAGCACGAGGAGGCAGGCGAGGGAGAGTACGGGAGGAGGAGCCTGCTGCGGCGTCACGTGGCACCTCCAGCAGCACCCCGCCCTTTGTTGAACTGCGGGAACCCGAGAATATTGTTCCAACATCCCCGATCTGCGCGCATTTGCACCAGCGCAGACCTGTACCCCAGATCTGCAGATGCCCTCTCGGCCCTGTGGAAGTCAGACATTAACCGAGCTGCGCTGTCGTGGCGGGCGGCAGGGTATGCAACTGTAGCCATGAGCCGAAAGCTCTAAGCAACCACATCGAAAATGTCATGCCACGTGTTCGTGCTCATGGAGGCCTTCATCAAGCTAGTGATGGGTGCGCGCAGCTTGTGCTCCTCCATCGTCTCCGGCAGCCCAGGTTCTTTTTTTGCGCGCGCGAGTTCTACTGACTGATCGCGGCCCCGCTGGCAGGGGGCGCCGTCGGCCCACAAGCTTGCAGGAATCATCGAATCAGCTTGCATTTCCGAGATGCGGCGTTGCACGCGAGCTGCCCCCACCTTGCCCAGGCCGCTTGAGCTCTCCAGCTTCTCCAGCGAGCCGTCTTTCATCAACTGGGCAAAATATTCGCGTGGCAAGCCGAAAGCGACCCACTCCTTCTGCTCGCGGCTGCGCCTCTCGTTCCAACAGCGGACTTGCGCGAAGTGCGGTCTGGGCCACATGCTCCCTCGAAGCATTCGTCTCCGCAGCCTCCTAGATACATTGCCACCGACGTTTGCCCATTTGCGTTTCTTATCACCTCCTCCGTGGCTGGTCGAGGAGAGCCCCCCTGTGTGCCCCCCCGCGTGGGCGTCGTCGAAGAGCGACTGGGCCTGGTTGTAGGTGAGCGCGTTGGTCGCCAGTAGCGCGCCCACGTTTGCCCTCGACCTCCTGCCGGGAGGAAGAGCCGCAGCGTCGCAATGGCGCTTGCGCTTGCCGCGCCACTCGGAAAAATACGAAAGGACTGCCTGATGGGCCGCAAAGCTGATACGGAAGACAAAGAAGATGAAGGATCGATGCTTGCATGCGCCCCCCTGCACAGGAGGGGGCGCGGCGTCGTCGACGCGCTCATTTTTTCCGGAGTGAAGTGGCGGCGAACCGCCAGGGTGCACGTGCGGTTGCGACAGCGCACTCTGCGAACGCATGTCCTTCAGTCTCGCTGTCTCTCCTGGCTGTCCATCCCCATGCTTGTATGCAATTCTCGTCTACCTGGTCATTTCATGGTCGCCCTGCCCCTCCTAGCTGCCCAGCCCGTCGCCCTCGCCCTTCGCCCCTCCCCGCCGAGCGTGCTCGCTCACGCCTGCCGGAGCCTCGCACGTGCTCGAGCAGCTCGGAACACTTGCGCTCGCATGCCTTCGACCCTGTCAGGTGGTGCTCGAGCATTTCCTTCGCGTCAGCGAGCTTCCTCTTGAGAGCGGGCAAATCCTTCGCGCCCATGGAGTGCGCGCCCTCGGCCACCGCGATGCGGCAGTAGCAGTCGTCCACGAAGTTGCCCAGGACATCGACGCTGCTCTCGAGCTCCGCCGAGTAGTCCGACCAAAG